AAGGCTGAGGCTGCTGTAACATTATTTTTAAACCTATTGTCTGCAGTTGCTTTGTCACTCTTGAAAAGATTTAAAGTTCTGACCATACTTATGAGCAACTATTTTTATTCTTTAGCATGGCTTTGAAGAGACAAGTTTTCCACCATGATAAATGTTAAAAGATAATTTCTGAATGAATCTACAGCGGTAAATTTTAACATAGGTTAGAGGAACAGAGAACATATATAATATGGATATAATTTTAAAAACTGTCTAAATGATTTAAGGGCCTGAACCACATATGCTCATCAAGGAGAGACCAGATAGCCACAGCACTTCAGAAGCACAGACTTACTATATACCTTTATCAAAAGGATAAAGAGATCATCTCTCACTACAGATAATTTACCCCTTCAATCGTAAAGTTTTGAAGACTGTCACTAGAACTGCACACTGAAGCCTGTAACTCTGTTGTCTCATTCTTCTGCTAAATACAGGTCTTGTCCCAGCAATTCCCAGCAATGTGTGCGGTTTGCAGAGGCTTTCTGTGTCGGAAGCATAAGTAACCCAGCATCTGCAACAGTGTGTTCCGAAACTGCTCAGGGTGAGAAGGCACGCATTCAAATCCACTTTCTGGGCTGAATGCGCAAGTCAATGAGCTGTAGCCCAGATTCAACAATCCTTTCACTTTAAGCTGCACATATACCAGGAATTTTTCATATTCTGAAAATCTCAAAATCAGCTGACATAACAAGATTAAGGTGACCCAGTAACATGCACTTGCAGCCCAGAAAGCCATCCATATCCTGGGCTGCATCAGAAGGAGCGTGGCCAGCAGGCTGAGGGAAGCGATTCTCCCACTCTACTCCACTACTGTGAGACCTGAACTGGAGTACTGTGTACAGCTCTTAGACTCCAAGCGTAAGAAGGACATAGACCTGTTGGAGCAAGTCAAGAGAGGGGCCACGAAGATGATCAGGAGACTGGAGCACCTCCCTTACGAGGACAGGCTGAGAGAGTTGGGGCTGTTCAGCCTGGAGAAGAGAAGGCTCTGGGGAGACATTATAGCAGCCTGTCAGTACTTAAAGGGGGCCTACAGGGAAGCTCGGGAGGCACTCTTTATCAGGGAGTGTAGCGATAGAAATGAGGGGTAATGGTTTTAAACTGGAAAAGGGTACATTCATATTAGATATTAGGAAGAAATTCTTTACTGTGAGGGTGGTGAGACACTGGAGATAGGTTAATTGTGGATGTCCCCTTCCTGGAAGTGTTCAAGGCCAGGCTGCATGAGGCTTTGAGCAACCTGGTCTAGTTGGAGGTGTCCCAGCCCCTGACAGGGGGTTGGACTGGATGATTTTTAAGGTCCCTTCCAGCCCAAACCTTTCTATGATTCTAACACAAGGATGCAGAACCCACATGAAATGGTTTACTTTTTCTGCTTATTACCAGACCTCCAGCAGCTGTTTGCATAAAATCACATAGCAAAATCACTGGAGTTTGTATAGCTGTCAGACCAGGATTAGGATGCATCTAAAAAAGTGTGGAAAGGAAAAACAGACTCACTATTTTCTGTTTTCTTGCATAGCTCAAACTCCTCTAATATTCGCCATTTCTAGCTTCCTCTTTTCATTAAAGTAGAGCAGATAGAGTTAAGTGTTAACACAGAAGTTATTAGAAGACAACACATACCCAGTAGAAGACAGAAGTAAAAGAAGGAAAAATGAAGAGGAAATGCATAACTATAGTGCTGATGTGTCTAGCTACTGAAGAAGAATAAAGATCACCTGAAACCTGCAATTGCACCTCACTGGAAAATACATTGCTATTTTCATTTTCTTGCAAAGCAAGCAGGTAATTATCAGAATTATCTTTCTTGTTTCAGTTTTAAATACTTCATCCCAACTACAGAATCTTTAAGAAAGTCTGTGAAATAAAACAAATTCTTCTGGTTTGCTTCATGTGAAAAAGTAATGTAATCAAGTGGTCATTTTCCTCCCATTTCAGGCAGAAACCTTCCATTAGTAAGAATCCACTAAAGGAAGAGACCGTCCTGTATAAAATTCAGTGACATTTAATTTAAACTTAAGCAGAAAAATTCTACCTAATAACAAGCACTGAATAAAACCTGCAGCCTTGCAAGACATTAAATATCTCAAAAAAATTAAGCCCTCTACTTGGGAGCTGAAAAAAAAGGTAGCATTGACAATGCCATAATCAATGAAAGATCTGGGAGAAAAAACACTTTTTTTTTTTCTCCTCCCAAAAATCCCCTAACAAAAAAACAACCCTCCCAAACAACTCCCACCAAAATGAATAAAAAAATCTCAGTTATTACAAAGAGGACTCCATTTCTCACTTTCTGATGCATCTTTTAACCCAAGGTCTAGATATGTTTCTGTTCTCACATTGGGACATAGTCTTTGGTAAGTTCAAGTCCTGTGACAGCAGCCTTGGGCACTGTTAAAAATTTCACACAGAGACAGGTCCATACATCCAAAGAAGGTAATTACAGGAGGAAGGAAGAAGACATGCACAGATGACCTGGGCTCAGTAGTTACTTTACAACAGACTACTTGTGCAGTTACAAGGTGATTCACTTAGATCCACCTTTCCGAAGCATGGCAGCCTTAATAATACACATCCAGTCCCCACCTGGTAATTCATGTTTCCTCCAATACGGACATGGACAGATGACTCCAGAAGAGCCACCCTAAGCCATCAGACGTGGCTCTTCTGGACACGAGCAATGGCACTACACACAATTACAATGACTAACATCTGCTATGTTATTTCACTTTGTTTTCCTGACTTCTGTGAAAGAGGTGGCAATACTGTTAATAATAGAATTTGCCCAGTAAATACTGGCTGGTATGGGTACAGTGTCCCTGTCAAGTTCAGGTAGGGGAAAGACAGGCTTAAAAAATAATTAAAAAGTTGTATCTAGGAAAGATTTGTCAGTGCCACTGGGCAAAGGCAAGCAAGGGTTGCCAGGACAAGCACTAATCAGAGCTTTTCAAAGGGAGCCAAGTTTGCTCTCATTTATACCAGACAGGCTACTGGAAGAAGGGTATGAAATGAAGCTGGAAGGGAAATACTGTACAACAGGGGGACCATGGTTGTCTTGGCAATTAAGGCCTCCCCAGGGGGTTAATTACACAGAGACAGCCAGGCATTTGAGAAACCCTTTTCTGAGTGTGCCACAAGAATGAGCACAGCTTGGCCAGTTCCGGATCCCCAGCAGCTTATTTGCTCTGATCTCTGGGAATGCACCTCCCAAGAGGCAGCGATGGTCAATGTTTCATCAGCAGCTCAAAGTGCCGATTCGGCCACTGGGGCCGTGGCCCTGCCAGAGCTTGCTCCTCTTTCCTGTACACTGTTCCCAGGTGAGTTTTACAATAGTGTGGTCCTCTCCCCACTTCTCCAGGCCACCTCGCTCAGGCTCCTCTCTTCTCCGTAGCCTGCCCCCCTCTTCACTCCCCACTCACAAGCCTTGGAGTACCCTACGATTATCCATTTCCCTCCAGTGTTCTTCAGTTTACAAAACCTTGCAGATTTTTTCAAACAAGATAATATTCAGTGGAAGGAATATATCAGCTTGTATTGATGACTAAAGCCTAATTCCTATAAGTAATTATTTTTTCTTTTTGCTATTAATAGTAACACTTCCCCATCTGTATGGGAATCCTTTGGCAAATGTGAATTTGGTCTGTTTCACTGAGGTCTTTGAGGAAAACACAAAAAATACAAGAGACTCATAGACCTAAGATTCTCATCAATAGATATATTTTAAAGTCAATGCCAACTTCATTCAGTTTGCGATCTTCTCTGACAGTATAAACTAGAAAACTTGCAGTTATTGGAACACTTGATCACTTTATTAAATCACTTTACTAAAATCCTAAGAAGGAGAAAACGCTTTTATTTTCCTCCATTTCTTTATGGCCTGAAATGTATGAAAACCTACAGTGAAACATCAGGGAGAAAAAAGCCCAAACTTGTACAGTAATAAATTAACCCTTCTCTCCTGTGTTCTGCACTAACTAAAATAATTTGGGATTTGTAACAATAAAAAATAACCATAGAATATGCAAAAGTATATTTTACTTCATTTTGCTGCCAGATAGTGATTAGATTGGGAATTATTTTATCCAGTTGTATGAATTTGAAGAGAATTTCCTAAAATAGATGGTAGGAATGACTGATTATGGAGTATAATATGTTTCTTTTTTACTTGTACCAACATGAATCAAGAACTCCTTATTTCACAAACAGACAAGAGAACAGAGTCAAGGATCTTCTACCCAAAGGAAACAAAACACAACATGGTGTATGGCAATGTGAAAGAGAACACATGTGGTAAAACCAGTAGTTTACAAGTATATTACTCCATATCCAACATATATGAGCTACTTATAAAGAGAAACAATTATCTAAGGGCCAAGGGAGTGCTTTAGACATTCTTTTTAGAGGGTAATTTTTAAAAATTAAACGGTTGTTTAAATTTTAAAAATTAAAAATGGTGGTGATAGTTTCAATAAGTGAAAGCAAAGAAATTATTAATAGATTCTGATGATGCAGTGAATGTGAACAAGGTAAAAGCTTGCTTTCATCCAAAAGAATATTTGTTATATCTGAGATGCAAAACTTTAAACACATTTAACCTGAGAGACTGAAAATCTTGGCAGGGTTAGGGTGATTCCGCCAATTTAAAAAAAAAATAGAAATTGCTTTGGATATTCTGAACTTCTGTCAAAAATAAAATTTAAGGAATACAATAAAAGATATAACTGAAGCAGATTAGAGTGGAAAACAAGCGCTGCGCATATTTGTTCAAATTTTTCTTGTGCTTGTGAATTGCAAAATGTGTTATTTCTTCTGTATAATCAGGCAATTCCCAGCTATGTATGAGTCTGTCATAAATCAAGAGAAGGGAGAATACCACTCTCCTGGAACAGGAAGAAGTGGTTTTAAACTACAAAAATCAGTTAACCTTTTAACATGCATTTTCCACCTAATCTTACCTCCAAAAAATGTTCTGCTTGCTGTTCCCGATCCAATTTTCTTGACGTTGTTGTAATCAAACCTGTGAAAAAATGATGATATTTGATTGTCAATACCCATTGAAAAATATATGTCTCTATCGACCAGAAGAAACAAATTCATTTTTCAAAAACTCAAAGGGAAAAAATCTATTTGAAGGTATATCAGACACAGATTTCTCGACATCTGTCAAGCGTTTTCTTTCTCGATGCAGCCATTATGACTTTCTGACTAACAACGAATCCTTAAAGAAAAATGCTGTGAGAAAAGTAACTGAGAAACTGTTAGCTGTGTATCTACAGTTAACATGCTACATTTATTACAGCGAATAAAAAACTTACTAAAGAATCACTATTTGTCTTATGATTAAGTGCTTCAATGAATCATTTGCATTTGACTGAAATCCTTCCGTAGAAAACCTCATTAAGGATTTCAGAGTTCTCAAACAATTAATGGGATAGGATGCTGATTACTTCCACACCAAGAATACTTGACAAAGAAGGTTATTTCTGTAATAACTACTTGTATACATAATGATTTCCAAATGTAATCATTCTAATGCATTAAAGGTTTTGTATTATAATTTCATCAATTTGTTCCATGCTCAAATTGAGTCTTTAAAATAAAGTACCCTTTTACATGAGGATGATCAAGAATTTTTTTTAAAGCAATGCACTTTCACAAATTATTAACCTCTTGTGCAACCTATACCAAGGAAAGAAAATTAAACACTTCCAAAGTTCCCTCAAGAAAAGCAATACCTATCTTCTATGAATATAGCTTAGCTTTTTATTTTATTCTCACTAGACATTCAAAGTGCATGTTTGAGTTTTCTTTCATACATTTCTTTGCATAAGAAAATGCATCATGTGCTTGTTTTGCAATAGATTCTGATGAGCGTAAAGGGACCAACTTTTCCTAGAGATAAAGCTGGTTTTGGAGACAATGCCTGTGGATAAAGTCACTCTCAAAGATTACTCATCTCTAAGACTGCCACGAAAGACAAGAAAACAAATACTCCCTGGATTATCTATTATATTTATTTGTTTAATCAGACCAGCCAAACACCTAGACACAAATCCATGATGACCCTAAATTCTTAAAAAAAAACCATCAGCAACATCTTACATCTACATAACACCTATAACCTCAGAAAGTTTCTACAGCTACAGCTCCTCATATACTGTTGTCTTTTCCTTGGAGGAATCACTTTGACTGTTTTGGTGAGAAGGAGGGAAACATTACTTGAAGTAATGTGATGAAATGAACAAAGGAAAGTTACTCTGCTCCCAATATTTCAGACTCATTATGAGTTCTATTAGACCACAGAAGTTACACTCAAGGGGAGGTCACAGAAACCAGAGTGAGTCATTACAATTACATGGAAGAATCCAGTGCTAGCAAAAGGCTGACAAGCCAAAACAACTCATGTTGCCTGCATCGAGCAATTGCAAATATTCAAAACAATTACACCATATGGGAGACATCTACTCACTGCATGAGTTTAAACAGACATGACAGCATGGGTGACAAAATGGTGTCATTCACACGTGATCCCCCCATGTCTAGAGAGAACACAAAGACACAGGAAAGAGGTTTCTAATTATGAAAAAAGTTCAACCCAAATAAAATGATAAAGTAAAAATTTCAAATTTGAAATATCCCTGTTCATCACAAGCACGGTTACTATGGATATTTATCATGCACAACCTAACCACAGTAAGGAATTTGAACATTTTTACACCATCTTCCACTTTCTTCCTTCCTAATGTGCCACTATGAACTCCGCCTACTTTCTTCTTACACAATAAATGCCTAGCTGTAAATTAGAGAAGGTCTCTGTCCTCATAATCTTTTTCAGGCAAATGAATTCACAATCCTTTTGAAGACCAAGGGTAACATATGAAAATAAATATCAGTAACTGTCAGAATGCATAGTAGTTGTCTTTCTTTAGAAAAATTAAAACAACAGCAACAACAACAACTACTACTGCTACTACTGCTAGTAGTACTACCACTACTACTGCTGCTCCTCCTCACAAAACTACTGTTATCACTGAAGGATATTTTTATGGTTGCTTTCAATGCAGAGCCTTTTGGACTCCAGTAAAGGTCAGAGTACTTTCAGACCTGAATTTCTATCTGAAAGAGGTGTAGGAACATATAGCAAGCCTCTACCACGTAACTGCCTGTATTCTAAACATAGCAGATCTTAACAGATTTAGACTTGACAGCCGGGACTGTGGCCACTGCAATGGTGGCCTCATTGCAGTCTCTTGGCTGCTCACTTCCACATACATTCCTGAAGCCATGGATAGATCACACTACACAACACTACTGTTTAAAATGTGACTGTACATAAAATCATATCTCGACTACCTGTTGTTAATATTTATTTAATGATGGTCACATATTAGTATGGATGTGAATCTGGTCCTTTTAGATTATAAAACTGTATTTCAAGGACTGGCCAATCATCAAAACTGAGGATAAAGAAATATTTTCTGGTTATACCTAAGGAAGCCCACATCTTTACCACACCAGTCTCAAAGAATTTCATTTCATGGGTTTCATGAAAACTTTGCTGTGTTCATCCCTCGTGTATTCAGTACTCCATGCCACAGATACATAATAATACCAATATTTTGCAGGGTGTAGAATTTTATTTTAGAGACACAGAGGAAACTGAGAGAAACTTGGCTTTGCACAAGAGAATATATCCCAGTTTTAGTTCTTCTCTAACTGTATTAAACTGTCATACTCTGTTATGGTATAAAGGCATTATCTAAAGAAAATAACTTGCAGAGAAAAATAAACCCAAAGAAATTATTTTAGGATGCACTGCTGGTTATGATATAAAATCATAAGGGGACAATGATAAAAAATGACCCTTTCTTTTTTCCTATCTTCAGTATGTGTCGTAGCTCTTATAGACACAGCCATCTGGACAAGTGTCCAAAGCCAGCTGGAAAATATAGCACACATTTATCACAAAACAGGCAAAAACACTAACAAGCTTCAAAAGTCAGCACAGCTCTCAAATGGTTTCTTTCAAATTTCCAGGGAAACATCATGGTCCTGCTAAGGGCAGAAGATATTTATAACCATGATGATTCTTTAAGAACAGCCATGAAAGGGAAGAGGAAAACTGGATCTGATTGAAAAGTTATTTACAATAAAACCATCAGCTTGTAAGCAAGGTTATGTGATTCTGTTGCCAGTATTTCATATTTTTCTTTGACTTTCTGAGTTAAAACATCTCTGTGCATCTTGGCACATCTGTTCCTCAGGCCGTATAAATGAACTGTGAAACTCCAAAACAGTGCTTGAACCAATATTTCAGCTTGGAGATAACTATATGTTCTTATATAACCTGCTTTTCAATAATACCTGTTACTTTTGCTATTGGAGTACTTTTCCCGCCCTAATAAATGAACAACTATTGTTCTCCTGTTACAGAGTTCGGAAATACTGGAAGATGAATAAGCTCACCCCACACATGTCCCATTATACTGGAGGACATGGCAACAAGTCCCACTTGACACTGACAGGGAATCATCCTTCTAACACCTCAATGTACACTGGATAGGATCATCAATGTCTCCTGCATCATTCCTCTCTAAAAGGAAACTCAGCATGTGGACAGAGAAGAAATGGCAGTGTCCTTCACCCCATCACCCTACAGTCTGGATGAGAGAACCAAAGATGTGGGGCAGCCAACAAGGTGGATATGCCTTAAAGCTTAGGTGCAGCCCTAGAGACACAGAAGAAAGAACAGGACAAACACTAAGAAATCCTGTCACTTTAACCAATATATCAGCCTGTACGATCTTCAGGCAATGCATCATCTTGGAAACAAATCACCAGTTTTTCGGGCTCAGACGTGTGATCACGATGTTTGAACAACACTTAGCACTGATGCCTGGGATGATGCTTTTAGCACATCAAGATGCAAAGTGAAAAAAAGAAAAGTTCAGTGAAAGAGATCAAAACCCACCTGAGTTAACTTCGCATCTGCAATGGGCAAAGCATGCAGTTACTGGAGTGCAAATGAAGAAATGTAACTTATTAACAAACAGTAACTTGACCATAGGTCTGATGTCTTAATTAATGCCAGGTATGCGTGTGGAGGCATGCACGTGTGTGTGTGTGTGTGTGTATACATGATTGAAGATAACATAAAGTGAGGAATTCAACAGTAAGACTAATGCTTTGTAATATTTTTTGGTAGAAAACTTCATCTTTATTTATAATAAAGCCAGCAAACTTGAAAGAGAGAGCAGCAACTTGTTGTTTCTATTGTGTCACCTAAGATATGCTTTGTTATTCAAAAGTGGCATAATGTTCTGTATCAAGTTGAGTCTTCTCTGATATATTGTGGGTTTTTTAACAGTAGTTCTGCTTGGATGCTTAAACTTGTGGTTATGCTAAACATCTATATCTGAGAAATTGCCAAAAGGACGTACTGCTTTCCAATGATATGCAGGTAAAAGGCTCAACCTAGCGCAATTCCACTGCGATCAAAGAAGCTCTGTAAATTTATGCTACTTAAAAAATCTCTCTCGAATGTAATAATTGCATTTTTATTTTCAGTTAAGATTACATAAAAAAACCCCACAGAAAATTATACACTTATTTAGCATAAACAAAGCAAGGCAAACAAATTTGTATTCAAATATAATTTGAGGCCAACATCTTTAATTTTAAAAAGTTCAGCAACTATTTCCATTTGCATATTCAAATTATTCTTTCTTCTGGAGGTTGTGATACTGCCATGTAATCCCACCAGAGCTCCAAAATTTAATTTGAATTCTGACAGTTTTGCCAATCTTTATCAAAGTTTGTTTTGTACACTACTGGAAATACAAATATATTTTATAGGATGGCCTAAAGCTAACAGAGATACTTGTTTGTGGTTATTTTTATTATTAGCTTGACAAGAAATATGTGCAAGCAAGGTGAGAATCTTGAGAAATGGGGACAGAATAAAAGCAAACACAGGCTTTTCAAATCTTACGTGAATTTGATGCTCATCAAAGTGAA